ATTAATGAAAGTTTAAAGCAATGATTGCTACTTTTGTATTTTTTGTCTTTAGTAAAATCACTGTCAATCGAGACTATAATCCCCTTTTCCTTTTCTTTTATGTGTTCAAAATAATGAACACATTTTCTCATCGACAGCATGATTCATTAAGACTCATTTTACTTCAGCAATTTTTTAAAAAGCTAATTAACTGAACTAAAAAGTAACTGGCGTTCACTCATTGATTCATTTTCTTTTTGGCTTAGTCCCTTTATTAATCTGGGGTCGTCACAGTGGAATGAACCACCAAACCTATCCAGTACATGTTTTACACAGCGGATGCCCTTCCAGCTGCAACCCATCTCTGGGAAACGTCCATACACACTCATTCACACTCATACACTATGGACAATTTAGCCTACCCAATTCACCTGTACCGCATGTCTTTGGACTGTGGGGGAAACCTGAGCACCCAGAGGAAACCCACGCCAACACACATGCAAACTCCACACAGAAACGCTATCAGGTCCAGCCGGCAATTTGTGCTGCGAGGCAACAGTGCTAACATCATCGTGTCGCCCCACAACATTGTTTTTACTGACAAAACGCATCATATAAGTTTTTAAAGATACATGGATTATTTTTTGTTTGTTTGTAATTAACTAAAATAGTCACTTGTAAAAGCAGACCTGATGTGTTTATGAAAGATTTTATCATTTATTTTTAATTGACTAGTTGTAAATCATTGAACTATGCTTGAGACAGTTATGAGATTTGGCTCGAAATGTAAACAGTTTTTTAACAAGAGCTTCATGGAAGACAAGTAAAACCGTTTACTGCATTTTAATTGATGACTAAACTAATTATATTCAATTTGTCATGTGGGACAGTGAAAATGCAACATCATGTCATTTGTAAACACATCAGTATGGACAATAACCAGTGTTGGTTACCAAGTTATGTTATAATATTACTTTTCTAAGTAACGAGTAAAGTAATGCATCACTTAAAAGAAAAAAAAGTACAAATACTTGAGAAAACGTAACGCCAGTTACAATGATGCGGTAGTGCCATAGGTAGTGCTGTCACCTCACAGCAAGAAGGTCACTGGTTCGAGCCTTGGCTCAGTTGCCGTTTCCGTGTGGAGTTTGCATGTTCTCCCCGTGTTCGCATGGGTTTTCTCCGGGTGCTACGGTTTCCCCCACAGTCTAAAGACATGCGGTATAGGTGAACTGAATAAACTAAACTGTCCGTAATATATGTGTATGCATCTGAGAGTGTATGAGTGTTTCCTAGTACTGGGTTGTAGCTAGAAGTGCATATGCTATGTGCTGAACAGTTGGCAGTTCATTCCGCTGTGGCGACCCCAGATGAATTTGAGACTAAGCCAGGGATGGGCAAACTCAGTCCTGGAGGGCCGGTGACCTGCACAGTTTAGCTCCAACACTAATCAAACACACCTGAACAAGCTGATCAGTGTCTTCAAGATCACTAGAAATCTACAAGCAGGTGTGTTTGATTAGAGTTGGAGCTAAACTGTGCAGGACACCAGCCCTCCAGGACCAAGTTGGCCCACCCCTGGACTGAGCCAAAAAAAAAAATGAATGAATGAATGAACTTTCACATATTTACTTTTTGGAACCACTTGAAAATGATCGTTCTGTTGTCCTGTGGTGTCACAGCCCTATTTACTAAAAAAATGTCCAAGTCATAAAGACAAAACCTATATAATTATACAAAATAAAAAACACTACATGAAAATGTCCAACCATGAAGATAAACTGCTATATTATCAAGAGTTGATTTTCAGTATTTTTAAAAAATGAAATAAATGAGGGTGACGCAGTAGGTATTGCTGTTGCCTCACTGCAAGAAGGTTGCTGGTTTGAGTCTCGACTGGGTCAGTTGCCGTTTCTGTGTGGAGTTTGCATGTTCTCCCCATGTTCGCGTGGATTTCCTTCAGGTGCTCCTGTTTCCCTCACAGTCCAAAGACGTGGTACAGGTAAATTGGGTAGGCTAAATTGTCCGTAGTGTATGTATGTGAATGAGTGTGTATAGATGTTTCCCAGAGATGGGTTGCAGCTGAAAGGGCATCAGCTGTGTAAAACGTGCTGGATAAGTTGACGGTTCATTCCACTGTGGTGACTCCAGATTAATAAAGGGACTAAGCTGAAAAGAAAATGAATGAATGAAATAAATGATGATAAAGTTGGTGACCCCTTATATTTTCTTAAACAATAGTCTTCATACATAATCGATACAACATTTTTTTTCTTTAAAAAGATGAATACAGTAGTCAAAATCTGTAGTGGATTTTTTTTAATTGTCCAAAGACAAGAATAGATGTAGAATACTTTTACAACTCTGATAACTTATCCACTTATCCAATTTGTTATCCACTTCAAATGGTGAGTACTGTACACACTCACACAAACACACAGTCTCTAACAGTTACAGTGTTTCTACAGGACAGTCAGACAGACAGTGGGATGGTTTTGGCATCAGATGAACTGGAGAGGTTTGAACACAAGCACAGAGGAGCCATGTTGACACAGTAGGTGAAAACTTGATCATAAGAGTCATGAGTTATTCATAAGAGCAATATTAATCATTGTGTGAACTGTGCAGTGCGACGACGGGCCAAAGCACTGAGCGCCTCATCAGTTGTCCATCGGTGAGCAGCAGCGGCAGCGGTGGTGGTTTGCTCCGTCCAGTGTTCTTCACTCAACTCTCAGGCCAGACCTTCTACAACAACGAGTACGGTCATCTGTCAGAGGAGGGCGTCAGCGACTACTTCTCCTCCTCAGACCAGGCCGTTTATAAGGAAACCTGCCCGGCAACCTCCAACCTGTAACAAGACTGATTGGCCAGTCATATCCCAGTCCTGACCCCCCTCTCCCACTCACACTTACTGAACTGACTGTAGCTTTGTAAAATTCTCTCAGCAGCCACTGGGTGGCACCATTACATCAATTTCAAAACCAATAAAGTATTTTATCACTTTAGTTCCATATATCTTTATATAAAGAGTAAACAGCTTTTATTTGTACAAAATAATGAGAAATGAAGCAGAATGGAGAAAAAAAATAAAGGAATATATCTTATTTTGACTGGTGAGGTCTTAATATTTGATATTAAGTAGTTTTCAGATTGTGTTCAATTTTGAATGTATTAATGGATTTACAGATTCTTTTTTATTAGTGGAAACATTTTTATTAAACGAATGTATGAAGTAAAACAACTAAGAAAAGAAAAGCCTTTTATTAGATGTTTATTTACATTACTACACTGTAAAAAAAAAAAAGTGGGTTGCCACAACTTTGTAAGCTGAATTAACCATGAGTCCATTGAACATGATTAACCTAGTTTAATACGCATTTGCTGTCAGGACTAATTGATCATATAATTTCTTCAGTGTATTCAATGGTATGGTTTCACAATTCATGAAAAAATGTTTCTTGAAAGGACAAACATTTGAAATGTTATTTAATTATTTTATATTAGTACTATTTTTTTATAATACTTTTAAAAATTGTATTGTGCTATATTTTAAATGCATTTCATTCAACTATTTTATTCTCGCCTCAAAATATTTAAAACAATGGGCTAAAAAATAACTCAATTAAACAAAGTCTATAAACCATAAAACAGAGGCATCATAAGCACAACTAGGTCATTTTCTGTACGTGTATATAAACACACACACAAACACACAGCTATTTCAATGTCATGCACTCATGTTCCTTCACATAATTAACAGAACAGTCTTTGTTCAGTTGCAGAAGTCATGGGATAACGTTAGCCTTTAGAGTTCAGTGTTGAAAGAAAAAAAAAATCTTCCTGCACTTTGAAAAAAAAACAAAAAAATTGTTATTTCACACAGCTGGGGAGCCAGAAAACAACATAAAATAACAGAACATTAAATAACAGAAATTTCCTATAAAATAGCAGACATTAAATTAAAAAAATTATTGTAATTCAATTTGGCAGAAAATGTCATTTAACGTGTTATTTCACAGCAAACAGTAAAATCTGTTATTTTACAGTAAATTTGTTATTTAATAGCTGTTATTTTACAGTAAATCTTTGTAATTTAACATCCACTATTTTACAGTAAATTTCTGCAATTTAATGTCCACTATTTTACAGTAAATTTCTGTAATTTAACGTCCATAATTTTACAGCAAATTTATGTAATTTAACGTCCATTATTTTACAGTAAATTTCTCAACTGCCGGGAAAAAAAGAAAATATATATATATATATATATATATATATATATATATATATATATATATATATTTTTTCTTTTTTTTTTTTTACAGTGTGCCTTAAATCTTTTAGTTGAATCAAATGAACTTTTCTAGTCATCTCAACTTCAATCAATAAAACTGACCGAGATATATTAAGTTAAACTTTATATAAATAGTAGCTGTAGTTGAAACCTGATTTACTTGTTAAAGTAACATAAAAACATTTGTTGTCATGACACTTTGTCATAATTTTTAGTGTACCAGAGATATGTGCTGCTGTGATGACTGTAAAAGTTTTGGACATACCACCAAATATTAAGGCTGTGCTCAAAGCAGCCATTATCAAATGAAATCAATGTTTTAGAAGTAAAAGAGATCAAGTGTTCAGATCTGTCGGCTGTTCTAATAACTTTGGCCACTACTATACATGTGTGTGCTGTCCTCCAAAGTTAAAATGCAGTCTCTATGCAAAATGCCTTTACCAATTTTTTTATTTTATTTTTTTTATGTTAGCTTGGCTTTTGTAATTACTGCAAATAGTACAAACTTGCTTTTACAAAATTGCACAAAACTGAATCTGGACAGTCACAAAACCTTTTCTAGACATTTACTCAGTTTTAACCAAATGAGTAATTACTGCACTTTGCCTTTGTAGTGTGGAATGTATGTTTGAAAAACACATTTTATTAGTAGAAATGGTTATAATCTGACAATTAGACTGAAAGAAAACAAATAATAACTGAAATAAGAAAACAACTTCACTCTTGATTTACATGTCCCCATAATTTATTTTTTCTCCTTTTTATTACATTATGGCAAACCTTTATTAACATTTTGAAGAAATGAAAGTAAAAAATAATTGGTAACCCAAATTTTGAAAAGACGTACAAAGAAGAACAAACATACAACAACGTAACTGGCTTTTGCTGTGGTTTAATCTAACCATGATAAACAAAGGTGCAACCAGGAAGTTGAGATCCACCATCAGATAAAAAACGAGAACAACAAAAATAAACTAAGCAGTTTCAGAGTCCTTAGATTAAAACAATAACAAACGACTGGTCAGGTTGAAATGTAGTGTTGTGGTTTCTGTTTCTTATTGAATGAAAATATACCCCAGTTGCCATGTCTACCGCAACAGCGCATCACAGATTCGAACCATTGTTTACTTTCATAAGGAACGGTCCAGTGTAACCAGCTCAACCAGATCTGCGGTCATAACACTGGCAGGAAATGATTCAAGATCTTTACGGCAGGGCTTGACGAGACATAAACAACACGTTTCCAGCATAATCTCCAAAACAATAAAGGATAACCAATAAACCATTATGGGCTGTGGAAATAAAAGTATCATTAAGCCACAAAATACCCTTGAATGATACGGAAATAAACTTAAAAACATTCCTTCAAGATAACCTTTAGGATACAAAAAAATACAAAAACATTCATAAACTTCCCTTCAGTTGAACACTTTAAAAGTGAATACAATAAACCAAAATAGAGGCCTGTAATCAGAAAGCCACTCGAGTGCAAGAAAACCCAATGTACCATGGAAAAACAGAGAATACACACTGCATAACAAAAACACTGCTTTAAATGATGTACAAGTTAATCTCATGAAACACTTAACTCACAAATATATATATATATATATATATATATATATATATATATATATATATATATATATATATATATATATATATATATCGTGGAGGAAATAAATCTAATGTAACAACTTTAAAACTGTGTTGGTGTTTTTATGAAAATGTACAACATTTAACTAGGATATTCAATCTGACTGTCAACAATAAAAAAAAACATTAAAACCTATTAAAAACTGCAAATGATAAAGGCGATACTACTCTGATGTGTTTAAAATCTGCCTAATAAAATGAGAATTGGGTTTAGGGGTACAACGTATTAAGCGATTAGTTGACTTCACTTAAAAAAGCTGCTGCCTTAAAAATTATTAAGCAAATAAATAATGTGCATATTTAAATTAAGTCAACATATAAAATTTAGACAACTTAAAAATTCCTAGTGTCAATGGGTTTACTCACTTTAAGCAAAATCAACTAATCCCTTTTTACAGTTTATGATTTAAATCCCGGACGAGCCCCCGTTTTTGTTAAACAGCAAAAGAGTTTAACTGTTAACTATAAACAATCTACACTACACTTTAAAAATATCTGTTCATCTCCCTGACTCATGGGTGCAGTGCATTTATTTTCACTTTCGAATTGCATTATGGGACCTTGATTTCTGCTCTGACAACATTAGAGGGAAAAAGATTCACTTTAAAGTGACTTTTATTGAGGTTTTTAGTAGTTTGAAATGATATATTATTGGAGTTTTTGACATAAATTAAGAGTAATGAGCTGCCGGTACATTTTCTGTAGTTTTACAGATTTATTTTGTATATATATTTATTCTTATGCAATATATAGTTTCAAAACTACTACACAAAAATGACACGTTAATTTAAGGTGACATAGTTACACATACACCATGTACTTACTATTGTAATTATAATGAATTATGCCAAATAAAAAGTCATTCTAAACCCAAGTATATAGTAAGTACATGCAACTAATTCATATTACTCAATAGTCAAATGTGTAGTGTAGTGTCTATATCACTTAAAAAAACCAAAATGTTAATAAAATACACTTATGATTTCATTTTTAACATCAGATGTCAGCAGATCAGACATCAAAATACCAAAACACAATTCAGATGTGTAAATAAACTGACAAAATAAGTGAAACTAAAACACTTTTCATTATTAATTACAGCCAACATGAAAATACTTTAGATTAAAAAAATTTCGTGTTTCATTTTATGGTGCAATATTCTTTAAGAGGTTTCATGAGATTAACCCTTTAATGCTGTTCAGTCCCAATGAGGGTAAAAATCAACCCAATGTAGAGGAATTCTGTTCAAGCGGATTCACACTGACCTCTCAAAATCACACTACGCCACTTGTAACACTAAACAGTATTAAAAGAGAAAAGCCAGGTGTCCTTCCTACGAGTAAAAAAAACAGGTTCTTTCCACAGCAGTTCTCTAAACGCAAGGCTGCATTAAGAAGTGCAGATGAATTTGGCATGGCAGTGAAATAAGGAAACCACCTTCCTCCACCAAATGAAAGCTCTGGAATTATTCACATTAAATGTGACTCTGAATGAGCGCACAGAAAAAGCCATCTGGGATGACGCAACATTATTCTGGTTGTGGTTGGTATGGGTCATAACGGGGTGTGAAGATGAGTGGACAGAGGTTTGGCTGGCATAAATAAAAGGCGTGATTGACATGCAAATACAATTCATGACATTTTGCCAATCTGGATTTTCTTCCAGGCCTCAGAGGCTGTGAAGATGCAGGAGTCGATGATACCGGCCACGGTGAACGTCCCGCCAATGATGGCACAGATCTGATGATGGAGAGAAAGACACGGTCGATGTAAATCATTAGAATTAGTCAGGTCAATGTTTATTTATACGTCTAACAAAGTGCTGTACAAGCATACACCATTTACAATAATAAGAATAATAGAGTCTTTAAAACAATGCTCTCAGGGTGCTTTAACACCTACACTTTTGTTTCGGAACGTATCTTGTTTGCCCAGTTAGCGCGGTTCGTTTGGCATATGTGAACAGGGTAATCGCGCTCTGTTCTGCGCCAAAGTAATCGCTCCAAAATCGCTTGAATGAGGTGGTCTCGGCTCGATTGAAACGAACCCTGGAGCGGTTCGATTGCAGTGAGAAAGCGATCCGATCCGAGCGCGGTTATATCACAGTGTTTTATGGATATGTAATAGGCTTACGGCTATATGAAGAGATAATTATGAATAGGGCGGGAAGTTTCGCGAGTCTACCGATGCCCGCAAACGAGTGATGATGATCTTCCGGTAATCTCGCGTCTCCCTCCCGGTCCTCAAATAGGCATCGTTGCGCACCCTTCTCACCCCTCCCCACTGCGTCTCTCCTCAGACACGTCGCGCGCGCTCCCTGTCAATCACCACCAAACCACCACCTCTCCTGACAGCTGAGCGGGACGCTGCAAAATAAACCCTGACACTCTGACCAATGTAAGGAGAGTTTACTCACACGTGACTTGTTTTAGCTCTTTTGGTCTGATTAGAAACTTTGCAGTGTGAAAGCGAACCGCTCCAAGAGCAAAGAGCAACAATGTAACAATTGTAATCTCTGTTTCGGAACAACTGAATCGATTCACAGGTGTGAAAGCACCCTAAAACTCAATTCCTGGAGAACCGCAGCTCTGCATAGTTTATCTCCAACCAATTCTAATGCACTCACGCCTGCTTAATGGTCTCTTGGATAGTTGGATCAGGTGTTTAAGATTAGAGCAAAACTGTGCAAAAGTGTGGCCCTGAAGGAATCGAGTTTGAGACCTATGCATAAAAGGGTACATCTCAAAATGCTTTACACAGATGAAGGTAAAAAATTACAACAAAGGGTAAAGACAACAACCCTTAAAATAATCTTAAAGTAAAAACATCATACATCATTGTCTTGAACCTGGCCCATGTGCAATTGTCCCCCCTCGCCTCTCCCTCTTGGCCTGTACTCACATTGCATTTTTTCCCTTCCGAGCCTGAGCATGCTTACGTCATCGATTATGCAACTGTTCAGTTTAACAGAAGAGATGCGCTCTCAATCCGTACAATGGAAATTGCTTTAGTTATATTGTTTTGTATTGTTTTAAGTCGTTTGATATGCAGGGACACACAGTCAAATCTTTTGATGAGCAGACAGCACTTTTGAGGCTCTTAACTCTCCCACCAAAAAAAAAAATGGATTTCTTAACTCCTAATGTCACTAGTTAACACACTCAATGTATTATTATTATTTTTTTAAATCCCATAATTTCTAAAGTATCAACCGTTTGGTAGAGGTTAATATGTCAGTTTAAGGTAAATGTACTGGAATAATACATATACTATGAAAAACCGGAAAAAATGAAGAGTATGAAGTGTAAGTATTCTAAATAAAACATTTTTAAATACTAAATCATCATCATTTTTTGAAGTCTGCTGTAAATATTTCAGATTTTTTTTAACAATATAACCAAAATTGGGCCTGGGCCCAATTCAGAGCACTCACACCTGTCAAGCGAACTGGGAAATAGGCCTCAAACATGCCTGGGCATGGTTCTGATAGCCTAGTCTGAGTACAACCGAAGAAATCTGTTCTTAAAGGGCCATGAATAAAGTGAAGATGCTCCTGACGAGGTGAATATTGAAGTCTCGCAATGGTAGTTATTATTCCCAACTGTATTTGTTGAAATAAACTATAAACAACTAATAAAAACACCATTGTGCCTGTCACAAATACTGTACTGCACTGAAAAAGTGGACTGTTGTCATCTTAATTGTCTCTGTTGTAATCTTAGCATGCTACATCTGTAGTGAAAACATCAGTCTGGAACCACCTCACACCGCACTTCAGGTTTAAAGGACAAATGTACAGTAGCTGTTGTACAACCGTTTAAAAAAGACACCAAAGAAAGCATTTACAGTTCATAATATTATAGTAATAATACTGTAAACTACTTAGTTATGTCTTCAAAAACTGAAAGAGTACTGTTGACGATAGTAACTAACCTTGCCATTTGGAGAAACGTAAACAACGAACATTGAACAAACACAAACTGGAACGTCTTTTTTTAAAAGACAAATGGCAAATCCAGATTTACCATCTCCAAATGCAAAAAGCTCTCGTGTAAATAATGTTCCTTACATGCAAATATTTGTTGCATGTTAGCAGACCACTGTAACCTACACATGTGCTCTCATTGCGGGAAAATGGAAACAAAACCTTCATTACGGCACATTTATAAACGCAGCACTGACGACCCATGTCTCCGAATAGTTCTTCTTCCACTTGTTTTAATTACGGTTGGCAACACAACATGGCGTCTCTCTGAACACTGTAACAAGTAAAAGGAGTATTCAAAGCTTTATCATGCTCCGAAGAGTCTTCGAAGCTATATGTTGTATCAAGTAGTAAACAGGTGAAAAGAGTCTTCAAAACTATATAAAGTTGCATCTCATTCACAATAGAGCACACTGATTGATTCGAACCAAGTCTTTCTCATGAATTAGTGCTGAAAACTCAATGACGCCACTTTGCACTGGCTGGTACAGACATCCAGTCTCCACGCTGGAATTTACACAATGATCTCGTCGTCGTGACGTTGCTTCAAAATTTCTTTTCAAACCAGAAGTAAATTTTGCCCTAAACAACGCAAAAACAACCAATTTTCACTTGTCAGCTAACGATATGTGTCCTAATAGTGTTTTTTGCAACATGTATATCTCAAGAAATGTGTTTTGGTTTTTCATGACTCTTTAATAAGTTTTAAGAAAAGATTTGAAACCGCTTCGATTCAGCCTGTCTCCATTTAGTTGCAAAAGTGGATAAAGCCCATGCAATGTAAACCGCAGGGCTGCACAATTCATTCATTCATTCATTTTCTTTTCGGCTTAGTCCCTTTATTAATCCCGGGTCGCCACAGCGGAATAAACCGCTAACTTGTCCAGCACGTTTTTACGCAGTGGAGCCCTTCCAGCCGCAACCCATCTCTGGGAAACATAAATTTAAAAACAGCTGATAAAAAGAGCATTTATCTCGAGAATTGTTATATGAAAAAACATTATTATTGCAATACTCAACAATATTGCATATTGTTTTCAATTATTGTGGTAGGGGGTACCACTAAAAGACCATAATTAGAGGATGGTAGATCACAACAAGGAGTGTAAATGGTTAAAAGTTGAGATAAATAATGAGGAGCCAAACCATACAAAGCTTTGTAGGTCAGCATGACAATTTTAAAATCAATCCTTAAGCTCACAGGGAGCCAGTGCAATGACTCTAAAACTGGAGAGATGTGCTTTTGTCCTGGCCCTTGTCAGTTATTCTAGCAGCTGAATTTTAAACTGAATGAAGCTTACTTAGGGTGGGGGTTTTGAAGCTACCACAAGCAATGCATTATAGTAAACAAATCTGAAAAAAAAAAAAAAACGATGGTGTTTATAATGTTTTAGCAGCCAAAAGAGCCAGCATTGGTCAGAGTCTTGCGATGTTTCTGAGATAAAAAATTAAATTTAAACTGTACTGCTAACATGAAGTCCAAAGGTTAAATTAGTATCAAATAACACTCTCAGATTATTTAGATTATTATCACAAGACTCTCGTATGATCTTAAAAGCTGAAAGAGAGTAGAAATGTTAATAGTAGACTAGTTTTAAAAAAAGGAAGGATTTCATTTCAGAATTATTTGAAAGTTTTGTATTCTCGATTTTCCTGTTGAAAAAAACATTTCTGTTTTAAAGTTCTGGTATCATATTAGCAGAGCATTTAGTTTCATAGTTTACAACTATATTGCATTAATAATAAATCTTCTTACTTGACTTTATTTATATGCAGTATAAGACTTAAGGAATCCAAAAGTAATCGGATTACAATTTTTTTATGTTGGTGCTTGGATTAAGTTACTGAATACTTTTCTAATGAAGTCATTTGTATCCGCATAAACATTTATTAAGTAATCCCGGCAAGCTTGCTCCAGGATCCAAATACCACAGCTTCTGTAAATTCTTCATTGCTCTTTAAAAAATGTAGGGCTAACCAAGATCTATTGTCTTTAATTATGTTATGGACCCAGGATCTTTTCATTTTAAAGGCAGATTACAGTGCATCAACTACTTAAAAACAAAAGGAAAACCCAAGCTTCCTACAAATATACATGCTTATGACAACAGAGAGAGGCTCACGGTAGTGATGAAGCGGTAGAAAGGCTGTCTTCTCTCCGTGTACTTGACTGTGATTGGACTCAGATCATAGCGAAACCAGATAGCCGGTATGATGCGGCCAGTATGACTGTACGCCACATACTCCTAGAAAACAACACAACAAACAAACAAACACTACTTCATTTCCAGGGTTCACATGTTTACTACTAAAATTCCATGACTTTTCCAAGACTTTTCCAGAACTTTCAAGTACATTTTCATGATGTAATGTTTCATGTAATGTCTATTGTCTATGTCTTTATATATAGTTAGCACAATATATCGTTTCGTATCGATATCGCAACTCGTGCATCCACAATAGTCATATCGCAGGGTATGCAATGTTGGGATTATAGTTTGATATAGAGTTCAATCATAATGGAGTAAAAGTTTATCATCTGCGTGCATTTCTAAAGAGATAGTTCACCCAAAAATTGTTTACCATTTAACCACACATTACCAAAAAGTTTGGTAATGTGAGTTTTCTTTTTTAAAATGAACACAAAAAGAATTTAATAACTCCTATAATATTAAAACAAGTAAAATGTGCATTTTAATCTTTGAGTGAACTGTCCCCCTATAAGGCCTGTGACTGTGTGAACTTAAACACTAAAAACTGAACTACCCTGATCCAGTTACTATGACCATTTATGTGAAGCTGCTTTGACACAATCTACATTGTAAAAGCGCTATACAAATAAAGCTGAATTGAATTGAACATTTCAAATTTTCACATTTTTAAACATCCGGCCACAAGAAATGCATTGTAGCTTGAATAAAGGTTAAATAAAGTACAATGAAAACTATGCAGTGTTGATTATTCAATATCTGTACCTGAATAGTGAATACCTGAAAACTAGAATTCACTTTTATCTTATCTAGATTTTATTTATCTATCCTTGTAATTTATTTGTTATGTATTATTCGAAATTCACTCCTCTACAATATCCCCCCAATCAATCCAAATAAACCTGTTAAACTATCTGGTGAAATTATATTCACACCGCAATTTACATCACAAAAATACAAAATATAATGTCAGATTTTTCCAAGATCGGGCAGCCCTAATTCCATTATTTAGATATTTGTTAAGCTAATTTATATGACTTTTCCAAAACTTTGTGGGTTTTTCTGTTTTTCCAAAACTTTTCCAGGCCAGTAAATTGCCATGTCAAAATTCCATGACTTTTCAGGGTTTTCCATGACCGTATGTACCCTGATTTTCACACACAATCACAAATCCAGACTTTAATTTTACATTTATATATTATGCAACACTAAGTCACATAAATGACCACTTAATAATTGGCAGATGCACAGTATTATTCAACAGTATAGTTTTCATGAGGAATTGTACATCAATTAATTAACTAAATATCATTTTATACAACAGTTCTGTCTGGTTCTTGAATCTGATTAGCTGATAGCCGTGCAATATTCTGCAATAACAGCATTTATACAGCCTCTTCACTCTTCTGTATTACTCTGCCCACATACAGCAACAAGAGGACACTTTACAGTTTGACAAATATTGCAGCTGTAGGACAACATAGTGTACTTTTGAGGCTTTTGTAGTCGAGGATGTAGTTGTTTAGTTTGCAACTATGCAGTTTATTTAGAAGGATGGTGCCTATTTCAAAATATTTATCATTTATGAGAGACATCGTGTTGGTGACCATTAGCCAATGACGTTGACGTTGTCCATACTCAAGATGGCACCAGGACCACATAAGCCCTTGCTTAAAGGATTAAAAACGCTGTGATTTCTAACTTGAGCTGATTCAATCATAATTAAAATAGTAAGTGATATTCTAAGTCGATCTTTCTCTTTTGCATAGATTGCAACTATGCAGTTTAATACTGTTACTTTCCTATCCCGGTTCTAAACAGTGTTATTCAGAGACCTCACCCCCGAACACCCCCTCCTTATCGCAAACACAACAGGAGTCTGGTAGTGTTTGTGCTGCTTTTTTCTGGGTTAATTATTGTGATATCCTGATAGCAACAGAGAAATACTGTTGACTGTACCACTGTAAGAAGATATCTCCGTAGATGTACGCCATTTCATGTCAAGTTCAGCCTTATAACCTGAAATGTCAGCAAAATCACCCGTTTTGTCATCACTTTACATTACACTAGAGAATCATTTAAACACTAGCTCTAAAATGACGTTGGTGAATTAGTAGCGGCTTACTAAAATACTAAAATACTACATCAATTCTCTTTTCCTTATAATACTTTATTTTGACAATTCAATTTAGGGCCTGACAGAATCTGTGGACTTTCTTTTTCTATTCCTGCACAGAATTTGGGAAAATGAAAAAAAATCTGAATTTATGTGGAAAGATGAAATTCTAAATAACATAAAAAATAAATACACAAATGCAAATCCACTTGTTTGTAAACAAAGCTACAATAGGTCTCATGTAAAACATCAATTAAAAGACAAAAAAAAGACAAAAAATTATAAAAAAATCAAATAAATATTTGCATAATAACAATTTAATTTAAATTAAAAAAGTTATTTTTGCAAATAAAAAACGTAATTATATTTGGTCTGAATGACATGACACATGTCCAATAGACTTTGCTGAACATGTGATGATGTTGACATGGTTGACAATCCCTCAGTAAACACGTAAACTCATACAAACATTACATTTTCAGGTAACGGGTTTCAGCTTCACATCCGGTGTTTTCTAGAGCCTTTCAATGCCACGAGACAAACATTTGATACTCTGAGTCAGTTTCTCAGAACTCCATACCCATTGAATAAAAACATCCTGACATCACATTAACTGTCTTCAGTCACACACGCGCACACACACACACACACACACACGCACACACACATAATGCCGAAAATGAAAATGTCCCCTAAGTGTCTTTAGAGGTGATAAATGGTTGATGGTGCTTAATAAAAGAGAAACATAATTGAAGCCGAGTCTCTGGAAAGCACAGGCTGGATTTAGGAGCCGTCACCACAGCACACTCATATATTTAGACTCAGAAGCTTCTCAGTGTCGTGCTTGAGTGCATCTCAGATTACCTTGTTTGCTACGGTGTACTGATAGGAGAACCTCTGCTTTCCTCCCAGTTCCTCATAGACTGTTGGAACGATCTTGAGAATGTAATCATGTGACGCTAAAGCTGCAGAAAGTAAAAAAAATAAATAAAAAATGGATACATTTACATTGGATACATTACCCTCCTTTATATTTTTCCCCAATTTCTGTTTAACAGAAAGAAGATTTTTCAACACATTTCTAAACAAAATAGTTTTATTAACTAATTTTTATTACCTGCTATTGTTTATCTTTGCCATGATGACGATACAGAACATTTACTAGATTATTGTTTCACTTAACAGCTTAAAGTGACATTTAAAAGACTTAACTAGGTTAATTAGGGAAGTTAGGGTAATTAGACAAGTCATTATGTAACATTGGTTTGTTCTGCAGACAATTAAATAAATTGCTTATGGGCGCTAATAATAGTATTGACCCAAAAATGTTATTATTATTTTTTCCTAAATTTGAAAACTAAAATAGCTGAAATTAAACAAATAAGAACTCTCTTTTCTGGAGAGTTATTTGTGTTATTATGCCTGTTTAAATGTTGGTAGCTTATGTCAACACTGTGACCATTACCATAATAACATTTTCAGAAATGATTGTAATAAAGAAATCTGTTATCATAATTTGCCTAGTATGTTTTTTGCAGGTCTGAACAGATTTAAAATCTCAGACAGGATGGGTGCTTATTTCATTCAAGTGACGTATGCCTTCTCTCCCGTTTCTACAGTCTATTTCTGTGCTGTTTCGTAATTTTATCCATGAGACTTGTGTCTGCTGTGACGTTTTCGAGTTCTTATTGCCACTCGATGTCTCTGTTACTAGTCTGCAAGAGTAAGCAGTGTGTGTGTGTGTGTGTGTGTAGTAGTAACATGGCAATAACACGGTTGTTCTATGCATTTGCTTATACTTAAGGTTTGAAAACTGACTCACTATTTATTACAGGCACAAATGGCGTTTATATGATTATTCCCAAAAAACAATTGTGTTTATTAGATGTCTGATAGACATCTAAACATAGCCAGCTAGGCTAAAACAAGGCTAAACTTGGGTTGTCAGTGAAAATCTAATAGACATCTAAGAATAGGCCAAAACTAGGCAGAAACAGACAGATTAGACAGACTTGATAAGTGTAGTCATTCATTTTCTAGTCTAGTTTTGACCTATTTTCTTTTTCATTTTTTAAAAACTGTTTTAACACATTTTAATTTGTTTTAATATTTTTTTTATTCTTTTAATAACTTTATTGTTTCTTTTATTCTTGTTCATGTGAAGCACTTTGAATTACCATTGTGTATGAAATGTGCTATATAAATTACCTTGCCTTGCCAATTCTTAGACGTCTATTCAATTTTCACCAACAGCCCAAATTTAGCCTTGTTTAAGCTGAGACAACTTTGTTTAGACGTCTATTGGACATCTTTTAAAATCAAAAAATGCTTGCTGGGTTTGGACTTCCAGGTGACAAATATTTGAGAAACTAGTTGGCATGACAGTTAAGGCCAGTTGCACACGGATGATTAGTACGAATTAGCAAAAAGCAATAATGATAAATATAAAAAAATGATCGCTGTGGGTCGCGTGACATGATTTCTACTGCCGATGCGTACGGCATTTTTTGAAACTCAAGCGAACAGTGCGCACGGCGTTGCGTTTGATTTGAGTTGAATATTAATCACTCTGAAGAGATTTTGTCTGAAACAGTACGACTGTACACACAGCTTTATGATCTGTGATCATAGAGATAACCTAACCATCAACAATTCCTGGCTAGAAATAGCAACAGTCGTGGGAAAGGAGAAATTTTTTTTAAAAGGTTTGGGAAAACCTGAGGGATAAGTTTGTTAAAACCAAAAGAGATCATGGCAAAAGTGGAAACCCAGGCACACAATTACAGAATATGTTTTTCCACCAGTCATAGGGTTTAAACTGATGTATATCTTTAATTTTGAATTTAAAACAATTTAATAGTTACAAAACTATAATTAAGGAAAAAATCATTTCTTTGATAACTGGAAAAGAAATATTTGAACCTGTCTGTTTACAATATACTGATGGCCTGTTATTCTAGGCTTTATTGGTGATAATGTACATGAATATTGGACCATTATTGGCTTTTTAGCATAAGTATAGGACAGAAACTAGCTAGACAGTAATGTGTGAATAGTGGAGCGCACTCTAAATCTAAAAAAAACATCAGTATTTTATTTAGTTAGTGGACTTTTTTTTGCTTTTATTCTTGCCATAATAAAATATATTTGTAGAGCAACCCATGTTCTCCTATTATTCATATTTTAATAAACTTTAATAGGTAAACTGTGCGAGATATGAACAAAAGCATGTGATGCATCAAAGTTTGATTTAAAAAATCTTGAATGGTTATAAAAATCCTTATAATCATTAAAATAATTTATTAAAAAAAACAATAAAAAATAATTTGTTTAAATATTGAATGATATTAATGATATGAGGTAGTTCCGGAAACTTCCTACTTCTCTGTTTATCGGTCTGTCTTTACGGTCAGTTTCTTTTGACCGCCCCCTGTCATTTTAAAGAATATCACAATGGCGAATGCGGCAAGTATTGACCTTATTCTCCGCAGACGAGCGGGCGCTGCCATTTGAATCTTTTTGGCATGAGGCTTCCGGTCTCATTCACTTCCATTCATTTTTCATGAAACTGCTTGTTTCGCTGTTTGATGTTGCAAACTGATATTTCCTTGTCATATTATTCTACTTGGTCTGTATAGTCATGCAAACATTTGTTTGTAGAGAAAGTAGTTTGACCGTTTTTTGCCGTTTATTTATTCCTTGTCATTTAAGTCCAGCTTTCTGAATAGAATATCACAGTGCGTTTGGTTTTGACAGATTATTTTTTACAATGTTTATCCTTAAGCCTTTAATTTCTTTCTTTTCTCGATGATACTGGATTTTTTTTTTTTTTTTTTGGAAATAAATTAGTATCATGTTGTTTGATACAAATATGCAGTTGAAGATAGGTTAAGTAGAAGAAAAGTATTTATTTGCATTGTGACAATTTAATTTTTGTACCTGAATACTGTTAGACTCCTCAAAAAACCGTAACTATCTTGTAAAACTGTATTAAAATCGCAATATTTATCACAGACAAATAAAATATTAGTTTTTCCCAATATCGTGCAACCCTAGTCGACAGTGTAAAAGGCTAAAACAAAATTAAGACATACCATTGGACTGAAGTCTGTCAGCTCCACCCAATGCATTAAATGCCCCCTGGACATGCTGCACCTGCAACAGATTGATAAACGTATTATTCACTATTTTAATTTATATTACAAGCATTTCACATTGACTGTGTTTACATGGACATCAGTAATCAAATGAAATACCTTAATCTGAATAGAGCAATAATATGATTAAGGGGTTTATATAAGTTGCTTTTAGAATGTTCGTTTCATATTTCCATTGAAATGTTCTAATACAAAGATTGATAAACGCCATTACATCACAATGTTATTTTCTCCTTAGTTTTTGAATATGAATTGATTTATTTGACAGAGACATGAACAACAATATATTGACCTTAAAAAGGAAATGTGTTTAGTGCCAGGCTTTAGCAAAAACTGCTATTTTCCACCTTCAATCTTTGGAAATAAAAACACTGTGTTCCTGGATTGATTCGGAAGGTGTGGAGAATACACCATAAACAGCAGTGTGTGTATGGATATCCTGTCACAAAGGACGCACTTCAAATGCTCTTCAATAATGCAACTAAAAAAGAATACTCCACGGGTCTCAAATCGATTTGTGTTTATTTCGATTGTGCCCATCAAAAGTAACTGTTTACATGGTAGACTCTTAATTAGAGTATTGTCATAATGGTATTAAACTCAAGAGTATTGGTGTCCATGTGAACATACTGACTGAGTGTACAAAGGATGACCTAACCTGAAGCTTCGCCCCAAAGGCCAGTTTGTGGATGATATGGGTCATATCAGGGCTCTGGGGCTGAGCAGTGGCACTGTGTGTCGACACATGAAAGTTTCCTGGAACCTACAGAAAACAGAGCAAGTCAACATCGTAATAAAACAAGCAAACACACCAGGGGCAATCTTCATTTAGTTTGTCCAACAGGCATGCTGTGAAAAAAATAATATGTGAGATAAGTGATACTTTCAGTCAGTTCACTATTAGTTGGAATTACTGATGAAGTTAATTTGATTCAACTTAATTTAAGAAGGCAACGTTTTATTTTTGTAAGTGTACTGTATCATGTGAATTCTCTAGAAAGACAGTAACTACACATTATATGATAGGCATTTCCACAAGAAACCTGAAGTTGAAAAGACTTCAAGTGATGTCGGGAAGCATTTCTTACTTTATTAATACTGAACTCTCCTTCAAAGCGGCAGCCGTGGCCATTATTAAGAGGCACCTTCATTGAATTCTCTATGTGGCCCACTTCATGCCGTCCCATCTCATCCTGGATGTCCAAACCCACCACTATGTGCAAACAAACAAACAAAGCAGAACAGAGAAAAAGTGTGATTGAAAGAGCTTACAACACTTTCATTTACATGAGGACACTTTTACATGAAGATGTGTAGTTTTCTTAAAAGTACTGGGACACTTAAAGTGATTTCACTAAAAAATAAAAATGTACACAGCATTTACTTGCCATCAATATGTTACAAACATGTTTTTGTTCTTCTAAACACACAAAAAAAGATAGTTTGAAGAATGCTGGAAACTGAGGAAAATATGTATAATATGGAAGTCAATAGTTACCGGTTTTCAACATTTTTTAAAATATCTTTTTTCGTGAAGCAAGTTTGGAACAGGTGATGTGTAAGTAAGGTGACAGAATTGATAATTTTGGGTGATCTATGTCTTTAAGACATTTTATTTAATAAAAAGAGAATATTAGAAGTAACGACTATAACAGTTTATTGGTCATTTTTAGTAGATTTTAAGATCTTATAATCTCCCGTAATAACATTCAGTATTTTTTTTACTTGACTAAAGTGTCCAAATACTTTCAAGGCTGTTTGTTATTATTAATAATAAGAAAAAGTACATCTAAAAGTAACTGCTTGAGGAATTTAAAACATCTGCATTAGCTGGAAATACAGGGAATTTATCACCATAAAATGAGAAAATGGATTAAAAAAAGCTTCAAACAAAAATGACTGATTTATTATTTTTTTTTTTAATAAAAGCACAGCAGTGGCATTTTCGGGGACTGAAAAATATAAAATTACAAAATGATGTGTGCGAGTACTTGATTAAATTAGTTATACTGTATTCACGTTTATGCATAATGTCATATCACACAGTTTTTACTGTTCTTCTTTGAAATAAAAGGATGCCAATGAGCTTAATAGATCTCATCTGTTTTCATGGAGGTTGATGTTAATGGCTATTTCCAACAATTACCAGATAATATGGAATGCCGTGTGCACTTAATTGTGTTCACAACCCATTCAAATGGTCTCCGTTTCCCAGGAGAGTGAAATTATATATGTATATACCATCTCTATAAATGTATTTGTTTTATTTAAGATCATTTATCATTTATAATGTTCTTTAGAGCTGTAATGCACTTCAGAATCTGACAGATTGATTAGCTCTAGGCTCTAGAACAGTCATCTGAAATGTTGTCATAGTGTTATGCCTGGGTTTCATCAATAGCCTTGCATTTACCAACACAGGCTATATTTTAAGTGTTTGGAAGTAATTTGCGTTTAAGCAAAATGCCAGCATGCGTCTGTAGCTCCGCTCTGCCTCTTTACCTTTGTTTTGTATCCTACGGTTAGTGCGATGACGTGCAAACAAAATGGCGGCGGTTGGCCACGCCTACTGGTAGCTTCTTTTGGGTTGTTCAGAAACCTATGGGTGACGTCACGGACACTACGTCCATATCTTTTATAGTCTATGGTCGATTTCAATTTTATATCTTCTAAATGTGAATCGTCATTGTTTTGGAGCCCACTATAGCTTTTAAGTATCTTAAAAACGAAAAACACTAAAACTTGAGTTTTTTTGTAGCACTAACTACTGGCTTTTGATCGAAATAAAATATTTTACTTATTTTCACAGATATGTGATGATGTGGACATGGATAACATTACATTTTTTAAAGTGTCATATATAAATTACAAAAAAAAGCTTTTATTTTTGTGGAAATGCACTCTGAATCAGTTTGAGATGGTGCTGAGAGCTTGACGAACCATGGTCTTTGATATTATACACTCTCAGAAATAAAGGTACGTGAGCTGTCACTTGGGTGGTACCTTTTCAAAAGGTACACATTTGTACTTCAAGGGTCTATATTGGCACTTCAAAAGTATATTTAAGTACCTAAAATTTTAATAGGAACACTTTTGTACTTTAAGTATCATGTACTCTTGAGGTATTAATATGGACCTTTAAGGTACAAATTTGTACCTTTTGAAAGGGTACCAACCCAGTGACAGCTCGCATACCTTTATTTTCTGAGAGTGTAGTGTTAGAGTGACTGAGCTTGAGAGTTATTTTTTTTATGTCAATCCCACAAAAAATCTTTATTAAAATATACATTCAAATTAATTATTTAAATAAATTAATAAGCAACCAACTATTTAAACAACCTTTTATAGCCAGGAACTAAAAAACAAACTTGGTGAGTGTGTGTGTGTGTGTGTAGCAGATCTTCTGACACTGTGGTGGTGAATTACACTAAGAGCATGTGGCTCAATGCTATTTTAAGATAGCTTTTCTAAATGGACAAGAAAGCCACACAGGCTCTTTACATTGATGATGCCGGTATGATTACATTTTATCATTTCAAAGGGGAGGGAAAAATCGAATAGAAAAGGAAGAAAGTTATTCATTTTCCAGAGAGTTTGGCTAATTTCAATGACCTAAACAATAATGTCTCTTAACTCGCTCATTAATGATTTGACATTTTAAGCCTTTAACCACATCTATTTTTTTTTTTTTTTGCTTAAACCCCATTCAGTAAGTTACATAAAAGCAATCTCCACTCATTAATGAGTAAATGTGCGAATGGAAACATTTAAGTGTAATCTGACGTGTGCCCTGAACACTAAAGGTCTTGCATACTGTAGTTTTCTCGGCAAGCACAGAAAGGCAAAAAAGTGAAGGAAAGTGTTGAAAAGTGACGTTGTAAAGGTCTCAAGGGAACATTGTGTATGCTTCCAGAAATAGTAAATTCATGTAAGACAGTAACATAATGGAAAAAACATGGAGTTTTATGTAAATCATTCTTTTTCTGAAGATGACATGATATTCACAGTGACATATATCAGTGACTATGGAACAAATATAAATGTCTTGTTAATACTGAAGATATAAGATGTGCAGCCAAAAAAAAGTCGCACAAAAATGTTTAAATTTTTTTTTTTTTGCCTTAAAGGGCACCAATGATGAAAATCATATTTTGTAAGCTGCTTGAACAGAACTGTGTGTAGGTATAATGTGTCCACAGTCATATTGCTGAGGTATGAAGACTTTTCTTTAAATTTCCTGATGCTACGTTTCTGAGCCCACCGAACTGATTGACAGCCACATATTAACATGCCTCCGTAGTAACTCGTATAAACATATCAACAAGACAGGACGTGCACAAAGCAACAGGGATTAAAAGATCTGTTCAGCTCGCTGTGATCATCATCCAGAGTGATCAAGAATGAGTTTTACAAGTTTAAAACGTTCTTAAAACAGGGCATTTTACCATCTTTATCACCACAGCCAAATACAAGTACAATTATAAAAGAAGACGCTCCAATCCTAGTTTGTGAACGTTAAATCAAGTTTATTTTGTACAATAACATAACAGATATTCATACAGTAGAGGATATTAATGTGTATATCCTGTCACACTTTACATGCAAAAACAGTGCAAAGATAAATGCACACGCTGTGTGTGTCCGCTGTGTGTGCGTGAACTTTGTAAGGTCATTGTGTGTGACTCGTCAAAAAACTTGAATTATTCCACAACAAATACATCAAATAATCATTGGGACAGTTCTTATTGTAGTTTTTCTCACAACTGTGAGCTGAAGCTTTGCAGACGCATTCCGGAGACACCAAGTATGTATGCCAAGTGCATACATTTCTCTGAAATCTTGAAAAAGAGGTAAAATAAATATGTGCCCTTTAAAGAAGGGACTTAAACCATATCCAGAGAGTAGAATTTTAGAGAAACGTAATAGGTGCCAGTAAATTAACACCTACTGTAGTAACTAAACCACAGCACCTTAGAAACCAATCAAGAATACTTCACTAAGCTTATATCCATGCCCTAGCAACCATCCTAAACACACTATCATTAAGGTTACATTTACATGGGTAATACCCATTTGCATATTTTTTCAGAAAACAGTAAAACTTGACATCTACTTGCATTCCTGAAAGCGGTTGAAATCAGAACAGTAAATGAGGTCATACTGAGATCACAGCGGGCCTCTTCTTCATGACTCATGGTACAGGCAGAAACATGGGTTCCATTAAAAAGAAAACATATGTCTTCCATAATAGGCATAACCTCAATTTCTTGCCCATGAGAACAGCTCAAGATGTTCAGACTGAGCATAGTTTGGTCTTTGTGTAATGTGTGTGAAATAGCCAGTTGCAAAAGATTTAGCAAATATTTGAGGATCTGGTGAAAAGTGACATCAGAGGTGACCACAATTGCCTTAAGGTTTGTGACATGTACAAATCACAATTTTAAATCTTTCCAAACATTATATAACTTGTTTATGTGGACACAAAATACCAAAAATGATAGCAAGGCACATTGCTTTTGCTAGTTAAAAGTTTTGTTGAATTTTGTATTTGGAGCTTGGTGATACAGCAAATAAAATAAATAAATAAATTACTATTTGCAATGTGTTCCAGTAAACTTGTGTGGTTGAAGTATATTTGAACAACTGAATGAATGAATGAATGAATGAATGAATGAATGAATGAATGAATGAATGAATGAATGAACGAACGTAGCACTATGCTAAGATATGTCATGTCATTTGTCTTATATGTTTTGTTTGCGTAAATGATTTAATCATGATCTATCTATCTATCTATTTATAGAAAAGTTCTGTCTGGTCCTTGAATTTGATTGGATATTCTGCAAATAACAGCACTCCACCTCTTTACCCTTTTAAATATTTATAATTTCAAAGCATCAGATTCAGTGCATTGGTCGCCATTTGCCTGTCTGAGCAGACCAAAGAAAGTGACGGTTGATATTCCGCTACAAGATGACGACAGAGACCCCATAATCAATTCTTAGGGGTGAAAAACATTTTCTCAGCGCAAGTTTCAAATTACAGCTGAACAATTCATTATAAATCATTATATTCTTAAAATGTGAGCAAAAACAAAAGATGTTTTGTCATCTCTTTAGACATTACACTAGAGAATCATTCAAATACTAGCTCTAAAGTAACATTTGTAAAGTAGCAACATTTTCTGCTGTTTTGATGTCACCTGCAGATGTGTAGGAAAGGTGGAAGATAGTAGTTTCTCATACAAAAGGGTTTTTAGACTCTCCATGTTTGATTTTCCTTTTTATATACACGATTATGCTGTCGAACTAGGGCTCGGTGATTTGGCCTAAAATCTAAATCTCGATTAATTAAACATTTTAACTCGATTACAATTAATGAATGATTATTTGATTTATTTATTTAATAAGTTTTGTACAGTAAATATGCTTACATATTACAAGTACCCGTGTGTTCGATGCAGAGTATAAAGGGTGCATTGCTTGATTTTAAAATAATTAAAAGAAACACGCACTATTATTATAACATTATGAACAGTTGAAATTAAAGCATACATTGCCTAAATCTGTCTTTTTTTTCTTATAAAAATAGTGAAAATAAATATCTTGCAATTTTGGAAACAAAATAATTTATTTTTAATTTTTAATCTGTCTGTCTGTCACAATAGGAATGAGTGACATGATTGAACAATTTACGCAAACATGACATATCAAGTATTAATTAACAAATCCAAAGCAACCATGTATGACGCAACATGTTCTCATACACTTGCTCCATATGATTTCTGGTTCAGTTTCAAAAGATTACATCTGATTGAGGTAAAGGGTAGCCAAATGCTTCTGTGAGAAAGCCCACACAATCTATGTCTCAAATCGAGACTTTCAATGATGGTAAACTGTGTGGGAAGTCAAAACTCTGCATCGTTTCCTATCATAGTCTACGTCAAGAATGCTGCTAAATGTATTAAGACTTCATGTTAACGGTAACTTCAATGCTGCGAACACATCACACACACAAAATATACATAAGTTAGAGGAATAGTTCCTCAAAAAAATAACCTTTTAGCTATCATTTACCCCTCCTTGACATGCTCTAATCCATTAAGACTTTTTTTTGTTCTGTTGAACACAAAAGAAGATATTTTTTAAGAATACTGGAAATATTTAACCAGATGCATCCATAGTAAAAAAATAAAAAATACCATGGAAGTCAATGGTTACGGGTTACCAACATTCTTCAAAGCATCTAATATTTTTGAGGAAAACAGTTTGTTCAACAGACTTGCTCTGGCTTTGAGCAAGTCAAGGGTGAACAAATCATGAGAAAAATTAGGGGTGAACTATCCCTTTAACAATGGATGAAGTTATACACATGTGGATAGAAAAAAAAACATCATTCAGAAGTATTTATGTATTTTATGTATATACTCACAATCACAGTGTAAGTTTGGCAAACTGATGTTTAAACTCACATCTATCTTCCCTCCACTGTCCTTATCAGGGTCATCCACATACAGTTCATTTACTCTGAAAACACACACACACATGCACACAAATAGCATTAAGTAAAGCAAGGTTTCTCAACTGGTGAGAAAAAACTGGGTAACAAGCCCATTTTGAGTGGGTTGTGGATTTTTTTTGTGTGATTTAAAACTATTGGAAGTGCGTGTGTGAAAGCAGTTGACTCCTGACCAAGCTCAATTAAAGAGTGTCTGATAAAACTTGTTGCTCTAATTCAGTATCAGTCAGATAAGATATTGTCTGGCTGTATGTCAGTGCCATTTTTCTGATGTTGTTTTTGTTATTTAATAGGAAATTTAAAAGTATCTCCACATCATCAGACAAGTGAATTTTTCTAGGAGCAGATTCCTACTGTTTCATCAACAGTATCAATATGAAGCTTTGGTAACATCATTATTTTCACTTTATGTTTTGTATTATTTATTTTAAACAATTACTTGGGCTCAAACCAACTTACTATACTTACTGTATCAAACAATTCTTTGGGATTGCTATTTAACAATATACTATAATATTTACTGTTTATTTGTGAGCATTATTAAGTCATATTGTTTCAACATACTACATGAAATTGGATGATACATGTCTGTGCAATCACTTTGTGAAGTAAATTGGCTTATTTTATGTAAAATACAATTCAAGATGCAATATGACTTTCAGACAAATTTGAGTTCCTTTTCAAATATTCCCTTTTAACAGAGCAAGGAAATGTTTTGTAGTATTTCTTATTATATTACCCTACTGGAGAAGAATAAAATTTATTTGACTGGAATAAAAATAAACAGCAATAATAAGGAAAAAACAAGATCAATATTATTAGACCTCTTAAGAATTGATTGGCAGCAGAATGGCCGCTGTTGTCCAATGATTAGCCAAATTAATCTAGTTAAGCCTATACATTTCAAAGGAAAGCTAATAATTTTGTCTTCAAATGTATTCTTTTTTAGTCATTGTAATAGAAAATGTAATAAATAATAGGGCAAATCAGTCCAAAACCACTGAAAAATAGTATTGACAAGCATTAGCCATCTGTAAAGCTCATGTGCTAAAATTAGAATCCAGAGTTTCATGTAGCTTAAGGCGTTTCATTTTTAATTTGTCGACTTTAACTGTAGTTTGGCACTTTCAATTACTTTCAGGAACATTTAATACAAACGAGATATTGGATGAGAGTATGAACTGCTGAAAGAGTGTTGTTTTAATGAAATTCAGTACTGCACGCTGTATGGGTAAAGAAAAACAATTTAATAACATTTTACAATGCGGGTGTCTGTGGTCTTTCACTGACTCAAACATTCATGTGTGAATAGACTTTTCTGTTGCAAAATGCGGCGAAAATCCGACACGATGGTAATAGTTTAAGGTGTTTACATGTCTGTACAACACTTTAATAGTGTAACTAAAATCAGCATACTCCAAATGTCTTAATTAGATTTCTGTTTAGTTTGATTATGACCTTGATCGGATTGAATTAATGAAAATTCACTGTTTACATGGTAGACTTGTAACCAGAGTTTTGTCTTAAGCATATTAAAATCAGATTATTGGTGTCCATGTAAACATACACAATGTAAACTGAGTCAGAGCAGAGAAGAAGTTTTAAAAAATGAAAAGTGCTTCAGTTCAGTTGTCACAGTTGTGAAAAAGGTAAATGTCACTGTTGAACAGATTTAAGCCTGACAGTAAATTGCCAGAATTGCAGTAATTTCATTTCATCACGTCCCAACCCCCGGTGACACCAGAAAGAAGTTCACAAACTGACACCAGTGTCCAAGTCCTGTGTGAAAATGATCTGTCACCGAGGTTACAAAAGTTTAAATGACGGGTCATAAAGTCATCTCGAGTGCTGATAAAACTTCTTAAGATGCAGTTTTAAACATTATGACTAAAATATCAAATGGTTTACCAATCAAATAATGACATATGTTAACAAACATATTTCTAGACATTTCGAGAGAGAGAGAGAGAGAGAGAGAGAGAGAGAGACAGAGAGAGAGAGAGAGACAGAGAGACAGAGAGGGAGAGAAAGAAAAATGTAAACAGCACCTTAGGCTCACTAGAATGTGCTGGAGCAAGATAGAATTCTGCAAGATAAGACGGCCTTTTACTAATACACTGATATTAAACAATACATTTGTTAATATTGCACTATGAATACAGATACTTTGTAAACTAATATCTTCATATACAACAAAATAGCTCCCAGCTCTACTAATTAGTTCAACTAATGCCATAACAAATGCCTCACTGATTTCCTGTTTAAATAATAAAATCGTATTCACAATAAATTGTTATATAGGAAAACTTTTAATTTAATGCCATGTAGAAATACATTTTTGAAATGGCAACACAAAATGTAGTGTCAGCGTTCTGTTAAAAGTGCCAAGAATGCTTTACCAAAAATAATTGTTTATTCTAGCACATGTTGTTATTTAAAGCACTTTTTACTTTAGTTGAATGTAAAATGCACTCTGATTTCAAATTCATTTTCCAATCCTGTGATCTCAGGTTTGTTGCACAAATTAAATAAAAAGTGTTTATCAAGATGTGAAAAGGGAAAACAAATCATGTCATTGACATACACATTTTTTGTGTGATTTCATACGTACATTTCTGTAGCGATGAATCCTGTCAGTTCCGAGAGAAAGAGGAACAACATGAAGACACAGCAGCATATTGAAACTAAGGGGATAAAAAAAGGTCAAGTGGGACATTAGGAAGCTGTTTGCAACAAAACAAGTTTTACAAATAGGTGAAGAGTTCATTTTAAAGAATCGTCAGCAACAATTCAGTTTAAGTAACAATTCTCACTATAAGTTGCTTTTAAGCTGCCTATTATTACGCCATTGGCTGTTTATTAGCACTTAAATAAGTATATTCTTCATGAGTTTATTCTACATCCCTAATCCTACCCAATCCCTAATTAACTTAGATTTTTTTTATGTGCTGATTTTATTTTTATCATGTCATATGTGACTATTAATTTGTTGTGTTTTTTGGACCAAAGACCATTTTCCACGCCGGTGGACCAAAAAGTAAAACAAACAAACTATTAATAAGCAGCAAATTAGGAGTTTACTAAGAAAAAAAAAGTCATAGTTAGTGGTATATTAATAGCAAGAATCATATCTTAATGATAAACGAGATATGGTATCTTACCATACATCTATACTATATAAACAGAAAATATCTAAGATATATCTTATCTTGTTAAAGAGTTAGTTCACTAAAAAAGGGGAAAAAAAACACATCTTTTTTTGTTTGTTTTTAAAAACTTTTACCAGATAAACGAGAGATCCTTTATCTGAATACGCTTTCATGCACAAGCACAATTACATCCACTTTCTCTTTCAGCTGCTTGTACATTTCTATTTGTGGGCATGCATATATACAGTTGAAGTCAGAATTATTTACCTACCTGAATTATTAGCCCCCTCTTATTTCTTTCCCCATTGTGACCCCTAAAATGTATTTATTAACACAAAGTAAACAGAAAAGTGTTTTAGCGACAGCTTGTGCACCTTTAACTCTGAGAGTGTGAGGACCATTTTCAGCTCATGTATGCTCGAAAGGAAGTCATTTTCTAATATTAGTAATGACGTCTCTAAATTGTGCCTGACTATGCAAAATGATTAAACCGTGTGCAGCATATAAAAGTCACAGGGCCATTACATAAGCTCGTTCGACAGGCAAATGATTGTGCGTGGCTTTATGGCTCTGGTAAACGTAATCGTTACCAAGTTCAACATGTGATCAGATGAGTCAAACTGCAAGGCTGGCCGCAGAAGCTAGTGCATATTTACATGGAGACAGTTTCCAGTGAGTCGTCTGTGGTCACGTGACATTGTGGTCGGCACGTCAGACTCTGACTCTGGTTTGTTCCAGTTTGCTCAAGCTAATGTTTAGCTATAACACAAACAATAAGGCGTGTCGCTATGACACATACCTCACGGACTCGGGTTTAAAATGGGTTATAGCACTCATTCTCTTTTAATGAAGCTAATACTGGGAACTATTAACACGTTGAAGATGTTACTATTATATGTAAATGACTTTTCCTTTAGAAAACTTTAGTTAAATATATTAAAACAATCGATTAAGTCAGACAGATGACATAATCCTCTTTGAAGACAAGGCTGATTAAATCATAGAGATAATGCTATCTTTAAAGACCTGATTTTAAGGGTCACACTCTACAATAAGGTTTCATTAGGTCATGTTAGTTAATGCATAATTACTAACATGAACTTTTTAAGCTTGATCTTGTTCTTTATTATTCATAGTTCACTATTTAGTGATACATTGTTAAAAGCTAGTTACTTGTTAAGCAGATAAAAAGGTGAAAAAACGGCTAGTTCTTTTGTTTTGTTTTTTGTTTGTTTGTTTGTTTTTTATTTCACCTGATAAATGAGAGATTCTACATCTGAATACACTCTTATGCATAAGCACAATTACATCCACTTTCTCTGGGGTAATTAGGCAAGTTATTGTATAATGATGGTTTGTTCTGTAGACTAGTGTAAAATATATACAGCTTAAAGGGCCTAATAATTTTGACCTTAAAATGGCTTTTAAAATTTGAAAACAGCTTTTATTTAAGCCGAAATAAAACAAATAAGAACTTCCCCCAGAAAAAATAAATAAATAAAACATATATCTTGCTCAAATATATAAATAAATAAATGAATAAACAAATAAATAAATCAAAGGAGGGCTAATAATTCTTTATGCTGTATACATATAGAAAGAGAGAGAGAAAATGTTGAGTTTATTGCCATATCAGCTTCTCTGGCTATGCAGCAAAAAATCAGATCATGTCTACCACATTTTATAAATATCACTTTTCAATAGTACTAATAATAATAATAATAATAATAATAATAATAATGTAAGATTAAAATCTAAAACAAAAGGTTTACTTTTGATAAAAATTTTGCAATTTTAAAATGATTCACATCTAAAAATATTTTAAAGAATCTCCAGGCAAAAATTGTTTGATAACATTAAATATAGGGCATTCCACAAGAATATGTTTAACAGTTTGGTTTCTGTTGCACGCTTGACATTTTTGGGGTTCTTCTCATTTGAGTAAAAGTTTATGCGTGACACTCGTGTGTCCGATACAGCATCTTCTGTATCTTCTCAATCTCATCATGTCTTGAGTTAAAAATAGCTGGGTTTTCTTCCTATTTCACGCTAGATTTCGAAAAGTTTATTTTCTGCGTACTGATCCCATTCTGCCTGCAATACGTTGAAAATATAGTCTTTTATTTGTGGCTTTAAACCTGAAGGTGGGATTTTGCACTTGTTTATGTTTCCTTTTAGGGTCTACTCACACTATGCTATCTGAACCGTGCCCAGGCCCGTTTCCTGAATCGTTTGAGAAGTGTGAGTGCTCTGAATCGGGCTCACTTGGGCTTTGTGTACGCCTGTGTGTGAGTGCAAAACACCTCTTCCAAATGGGCCAGGGCCAGCCAAGTGAACCATGCCTGAGCCCGATTCAGCGCACTCACACTTCTCGAACACTCCGGGAAACGGGCCCGGGCACAGTATAGTACAGCGAGATAGCATAGTGTAAGCAGGCCCTTTTTTAGAGTCTGTTTTGGTAGCTTTAAATATAGAAAGACAAATAAATAAATGAAAATAGGAGAGAAAAAAAGAATATCAGCAAAACAACTTAACTTGAAAGCAAAACTATACACATTTAGGGAGTGATCCATTACTTTAGAATTTTAACTGGTCTGAGATATTGCCTAAATTTTTTCCTGTATTAAATACATTTTCCATTTTCTTATTTACAAATGCTTTAATTTGCTCTTGTAATGTCCATCCATGCATTCAGTGTAGGACTCTTGTGACAACCAATTTTGGTAATACTCTTTTTTTAACAGTCAACAAGATATTTATTAAATCTTTTACTTGTTTCAAACCTTCATGATTTTTGTCTTTTTAACACAAAAGAAGATATTTCAAAAGATTTCAAAAACCTACCAAGAGCCAGCAAGTACATGATGGTGGAGAAATAAAAATAACGAAAAATGGGAGGGAGAAAAAAAAACTGAGTGACAGGAAAATATATTTTTTAAAATTTCTTGGATTTCCTCAAAAAGTGCTGTCAAGGTAAAAATTTTTGGAGGAATATGGGAAAATATTTAATGATAGGATGATAGCAGGATAGAATGGTAAAATACAAGAGAATACTGGCAAAAATGGGAGGGTTGACATGTATAAAGTGAACAGAAATTGTTTGTGAAACAACAAATGAGAGAACGCAAAACATCTTTGTGAGGGAATGCAAAAACTTAAAAACAGTTTTTTTTCTTCCACCCAGTTTTTTTTCTTTTACCCATCTATGAATACGAACGATCCCTTCGTATTCAGTGAGTTAAAATGAATTAATGAATGACTATTTTCATTTGAATCAACAAAGATGAATAAATATTGTATTAAGTGTCTTGTTCATAGTATGTTCATGTTAGTAAATTAAAGGAACATTATTGTAAAGTATCGATTTATTTGTTTTCTTTATTATATCCTCTTTTTTTGTTAACTATAAAAAAAGATTTAAACAAAACTGATCAAATCAAGATTTTATTAGTGGATTATAGATGTGTTTCATTTACTTCCATTGTTGGTTTCATTACCAGCAGAAAAACTTACCAAAATAAAAATAACAGTCACCAGTGGATCAATCTTTTACTTTCTCATTTACACTTGGTGACTATAAAGAAAAACAAAATTACGAAATGGATCCTGTTATCTCTGTAGATGTTTTGAAAACAAAAAAGACAAGTTTGTTTAACCACAAACCTCAGATGTCCCAGCTGGGTATGCGAGAATTAATCCACAGAACCGGTTTACAAACAAAATATTGAGGTTATGCTTTGGGTTGGTCTAGATTTCAGCAAGCATGACTTAACATTAGTGATTCACCCGAGGAAAAAACAACAATGGAGAATGTGTGTAAAATGACATAGTGCCACGCATCATATCATAATGAGTCAAACAGCAACACCTAGCATTACAAACATCCATCCTTCCGGATCATAAGGGAAGGATGAGCTATACAATGACAAGTTAGAAAATAAAAACTGAGTCAGCAAATTGGTTTGGAAAAACACAGGTTTGGATCAAAGGAGAATGTTGATTTGAGGGGGAAGAAATGAATGCACACAAACAGTGGGCAAAATGTCAAATTCCCTGATTAAAACGTTGACCTGTTCATCTTATTTTAGTGGTATGGCCATTGTAAATTAAAATGTGACGACTTTTATTCACTTCCATTCCTTTTTAGCAAAACAACTATGCTGCATGATGTTAAAAATCAAAATGTATTTATAATATACATTTATTAGCCCCCCTTTGATTTTTCTTTTTTAATTATTCAAAAATTATGTTTAACAGGGCAAGGAAATTTTCACAGTATGTCTGATAATATTTTTTTCTTCTGAAGAAAAAGTCTTATTTGGTTTAATTTGGCTAGAATAAAAGCAGTTTTTAATGTTTTAAAAATCATTTTAAGGTCAATATTATTAGCCCCTTTAAGCAAAATTTTTTTCAATAGTTTTTTTTTTCAATAATTTTCACACAGTGATACCGGTAAATATCTGGAAAATTTCCGGAACGACTTTACCGGTATATTCAAAAAAGCGCTGTTCACACAGGCGAGGACGTTACGGAAATTATCCGGAAAAGAGCATTCACACATCCATTCCAAAATACCGGTAAATTCTGACATCATTCACCACATGAGCTTTAAATGGCTGCGCTTGTATTTGTAAACATTTGACTAAAATACAAACTCTGTGGAGGATCAATATTGTGAACAACTTTCGCATGTCGAGATGTTCATAATATGTGCGTGTGAAGGCGCTCACAGGCTGTTTCACAGGCACACGCAGAGCTTGAAGGTAAACAAACAACGGCTTATCATAAGCAATTTATCGATGATTATTTACACAGTTGGCATTAAGAAGAACATATAAACGTGATCTGACTAACTTCTAGCAGCTAAATGTGTCTGGAAAAATATTCAAAGGCTTTTATTCTCACCAACCGCGCGGACGTAAACGCGTCTGACTGTTGTGATTGGCTAAAGCAGACGTCTCACGTCAGCACGTTCTAGACGTGCACGCGCTTATTACGGCAATCTTCCTTCTGCATCCACACAGCGCAGCATTCCGGCAAATTGCCGGTAATGTTACAACTTCTCTTTCCGGAAAATAGCCAGAATGAATTTACCTGTATTTTCAAAAAGGGTCTGTTCACACATACAACCTTTCCGGAAAATTGCCGGCAATTTTCCGGAAAGATCTGTATGTGTGAAAGGGGCTAATAACTTGCCTAATTATCCTAACCTGCCTAGTTACCTAATTAACCTAGTTAGATCTTTAAATGTCAATTTAAACTGTTATAGCAGTGTCTTGAAAAATAACTAGTAAAATATTAGTTACAGTCAATTTAGCAAAGATAAAATAAATCATTAAAACTATTTTGTTTAGAATTGTGCTGAAAAAATCTTCTCTCCGTTAAAAAATAAACAGGGGGGCTTATAATTCAGGGGGTCTAATAATTCTGACATCAACTGTATATATTTGATTGTCTGCACTCAAAAAAAGGATTACTGCTGCTTGTTCAAACTACCTGTTTAAAATGAGTTGAAACAACCAAATTCTTGTAATTTCTGACCAATTTTTTTTATGTTCAGTCTACTTAAATTTATAAATTATTAAGTTTTAAGAATAAGTTGGTCCAACTACCTAGTTAGGGGATTTGTAGTTTCCAGCATACTTTGCGCCGGACTGAATTAAGAGAAGAAAATGTCGACAATAAAAGTAATCTTAAGTGTTTACAGTCAATAGAAAGACTTGGAGTTTAACCTTTGCTTCAGTTTGAAGATTTAGAAGAGTTTCATGTAATGCCTTGAGTTTTGAGATTACCAACTTGCTGAAGCACCCATGCTTTGGTTGTTGGCAGCTTAGCTAAAATGCAGTTTGTTGCTTTTATCGGTGAACAATAACTGTCCTAAAATTAGTTCTGAGATCAGTCTGTCAACTGTATATGTAACTCTTGAAATACGCTTAACAATGGTTAGGATAACTTCAAATAAAACTAAGAGACTTTGAAATGTATGATTTTGAAACGTAACAGACATACATGATATTATCAGACCTTTGAGTTTAAGTAACATAAAAATATAAATGTATTTTAACTTTTATTTGATAAAATCATGTTGAACCAAGTCAATTGGATTTAATTGTGTAAAGTTTTTTTAATTGGGGCTTAACAAATTTATTGGATGGAAATCCTGCCCTCAATTAAATTGAGTTCATCCAATGAGTTATTTTTTGAGTGTGTTGACATGCTGTAAAGAATAAAGTGGCACACAAAAAATGGACTACCTATAAAAACAAATAAATGACTAACTAAAAGCAGGGATGTTCGATGACATATGAAAATGACAAAATAAATAAAATTCCCTGACTTTAAATGTTTGGAATAGAACTTTTAACATTCATTGATAAACCAGACATTCAATGACATCTGAAGACCTGGCAGTAAATTGAATGGTTAAACTGAATGAGTGTCTATAATGAGAAATAAGCATTATAAATTTCCACACTCACTGAAAGCTCCAGTATATGTTGGCTGGGTAAGATCTTTCGGCACTTTCCTGTAGATATCAAACCTGGAAGGAAAAGAAAGAAGGGAGGAAAAAAAAGAAAGGTAAACATTGTATTCTCCAGGGGAAAGTTTGTGTGAAAGCACATTGTGTTCCCAGAGTAAGGCATTACACAGGAGTTTAGGAATGTGAACTATGGCTGTGATCCATGAAACATGGACCCAGACGCAACAGTCTAGAGCAAGACCCCTGCTTCTGGAGTTACACCTCTTCCTCTGCATTCCTGCTATACAATTGCTCGCAACCTACATTTCTGCATAGGGCAGGGTGGCTAGGGTCAGGACGGAGGCTGTCAACAATGACTAAACACACATCAATCACTGGGACCAGGGGGAATGTAGGGAAAGCAAACAACGGACAATTTAAAATGACACACTTATTGACTGAACTATTGAGGGACACAAGAGGGAGAAGAGGGAGCTTCGGGACACACTACAAAGCAAAATAGTTGTAAATCTTTAAAACAATATATACATTTATTTTACAATGCTTTGGGTTGTTATGCATTACTGTGTATTTCTTTTAACCTTCTCACTGAAACCTCTGTAAATACCTACAAACCCTTACAAATATGTTTAACTTTACTGCAAAAAAAAAAAAAAAAAAAAAGCATCTTCTATTTATAAACATACTAAAACAGTTACAGCAGTTTTGTATTAGTTTTTACTCATTCAAGGTCATGATTAACATCCCATGAGCTTGAAAAACATGTTAATTAAGACCATTTGTTTATCAAGGTTATTTTTGACTATACATTTCTGTTATATTATTGAAAGTGTATTGATTATGAGAGTGTTTGTATGATTTTTGAAATGGCAAATTGGGTGAACCTTACTATAAAACAACCATTGGTGGAAAGAGTACTGAAAAATAATCCTTAAATCAAAGTACCATTACTTGCTTAAAATGTAGAGCAAGTACAGTAAAAGTATCTGTTATAAATAGTACTCAAAGTATAAGTAAAAAGTAGACCTTTCAAAAGAGTAGCGAGTAGTGAGTATTACACTGTAAAAAGCTGATGCATTTACATGTAATTTGTGGATGTGTGTAAACGTAACATTCTGTAGTGCATTTAGTTATTGCCCAGCAGGCACACAACTTCAGAAGATGTTAATATTAGGTTAGATTTAGGTCGTGACATCAGTTGACCAAAATTCAATGTCTAGCCAGTGTCTAACGAGTGACAACATTATTTTGATCACAAATTACAACGTCAAAAAAGTTGATTTTTGGTTGATTTGAAGTTTATTACATATTAATGTCAGGGTCATATTAAAGGGTGACTCCGTGGACACCCTTTAATAAGGTCTTCTAAAATGTGGCTCAGTGGAGTCAGACTAAAATGGAATAATGGAAAAAAGACAGCTTTTTTTACATATAAAGAGTGATATTTTTCCAAAAATAATAGAAAAGTATTGAAATATATTTATACATGTCAATTTGTAAAAAGAAAAAAAAATCTGTGATTTTATGTTTTTATTTTTAAAAAAGACGTCCGTTAAACTACAGAAATCTACTGTAAAATAATAGACGTTAAATTACAGAAATTTCCAGTAAATTTGACAGTAGATTTCTGTAATTTATCCACTGTTATTTTACTTTTTTTTTCCAGCACCCCAGCTGCCAGAAAAAGAAGTTAAATAACAGATTTTTTTTACAGTGTTACAGGTCAATTAACCTATCATCAATGTAAACTGTCTACTCTGAAAAGAAAAGATATGGTGGCTTTTTATTTTTAAGGGTGTTTACGTGACAACTTTCCAGCTAAAAACAGGAAACTTCTTAAGCACTTTACCTGTTAGTTAACATGGCAACAGTGTTTTGGGGACTGAAAACACATAAATCTGAAAAAAGGGTAACAAAGTGCAAGTTTATTTAAAATGTCACTGTTTTCTTCTTCATGTAAACACCCAAAAAAAGAGATTGTTTGAAAATAATGACATAATGCTCGTCACTTCTTTGCAGGTACTGTTTACTAACAAGGTGACAGCGCAAATTAATGACCTAACAAATGCAATACAGCAGTTTTGGACATTTTTGTGAATGTACAAAAGTGAGTTTTAAAAAACTTTTCTGTTTCATTATTAGCTTGATCTTTGCTTGATTATTAGCAAATCATTATTAGCTTGATCTTAAAAATGACTAAAGAACACTTTAGCATCAGCAACATATGTTAATCATTTAATAAACTAAACTGAAAAATTATTAAATAAATTAATAATATTTTCTTAATGTATTAATAATTACATTTTATTCAAATTATTATTTTTTTAAACAATTTTTTTTTATAGAGATCGCTTCAACACATATTTTTTATATTAAGTGATATTTTTTAAACTTAAGTGTCCCAATTCCTGGCGAATGAATAAGACTGACGTTTTAGCTTTTTAAAACAACATAACATAGCTATTTGATGATAAAATGTTAGTCACAAAAGATATGAGTAGCTGAAAAGCAATGAAACTTAGTCACTTAAAGTGGATAATCTACCCTTTAATCCTATCATAATTTAGTCATCTTCGTGTCTTTTCAAAACCACAAGACTTATTGTTGTCCTTTAAAAGTAGCTTAAATGTTGCGGACAAGCATGTTCTGTAGAAAATGTTAACAAAAACGACATTAGTTTTATAGTTTTTTTGCACGTTCAATAATAAAAAGTTGAAAAAAAAAAAAGGTAAGGGGCCATTCACATATTACGTATTTTACACACACAAGTTTGTTATCTCCAATGAAAGCGAGGCTTGTGCATGCAAATAGGGAGCAACACACAAGCAGTGTGCATGAGGTGCAACATTCTCACATTTTGCAGTTGAAAACATTTCAACGTTGTAAAACCAGGGTGTCCACAGGGTCGTAAAAAGTTGTCAATCTCAAAATCTAAATTTTAGGCCTAAAAAGTCTTAAATTCACAGAAATATTGTGTTGCGGGTCTTAAATCTTTTTAAACAGGACAAAAAATTTTTAAACATATTTTTCCACATTTTTCGACTGCCCTGGACTGATTTTTGCTGTTTATTCAGATGAATACCTTACCCAAAGGAAACATTAGCTGAGCTACCCCTGAGCACTTTTTTTATTTTATTTTGGGCCTTAATTTTCCTTTGTTTATGAATTGCTACCCAATCTGGCCAACACCCATACAACAATTTATCTCAATAAAAATTACAATTTTAACTCTATTTACCATGAAGGTTTAGTTATCTTCCTTACAATAACATTTGTTTAAAAGTGCTCCATGCATTTACCGCTGAGGACACCAACCTGGAGAGATTGTTGTGTGTAGATTTATTTTATCATAATTTTTAAAGCTTTTAAAACATTTGTTAATTTTTTTTTTTTAAAGAACATTTATGTTGGAAAAAAAGTGTTTGAATACAAGAAGAGCTTGCTTGTTTTTACACAATATTTAAAGTATTTTGCTTAGAAATATACAAAATATTTTTTTTTTATTATTAAATTTTATTATATTATTAAATGTATTACATTTTGTGTTTTTGATAGGGCAAATACAAATCTTTTCCACCTGGGCCATTTGAAAGAAATTCCTTAGTGTTTAACCCTTGTGAAGTGGCGCAGTAGGTAGTGCTGTCGCCTCATAGCAAGAAGGTTGCTGCATGGGTCGCTGGTTCGAACCTCAGCTCAGTTGGCATTTCTGTGTGGAGTTTGTATGTTCTCCCTGCCTTTGCCTGGGTGCTCCGGTTTCCCCCACAGTCCAAAGACATGCGGTACAGGTGAATTGCGTAGGCTAAATTGTCCGTAGTGTATGAGTATGTGTGTGAATGTGTGTGTGGATGTGGGTTGGCATCCGCTGCGTAAAAACTTGCTGGATAAGTTGGCGGTTCATTCTGCTGTGGCGACTCTGGATTAATAAAGGGACTAAGCCGACAAGAAAATGAATGAATGGTCTTAAAAGGTCTTAAATTTAACTTTGTAAAACCTGCAGAAACCCTGAGATTGCGCACCACAAGCCATTTGACTAGAACTAACCAATCAGCATCATACTTTGTATCGAATATACAAATTTAGGTAATAAGGATAGAGTGTTTACCTTAGACAAACACAAAGCCCCAAAACATAGCAGTGCTTTTTAATTTTCTCCATAAATTAACCTTGTATCAGAGCTGCAGTAATGGTTTGTCATCATCTGAATGAACGGTGGTTGCCTTGCACGGAAGCCTGAGCACAAAGCGTGTTGATATTGGTGAAGGAAGCGACGCGCCTAGCATTTTTCATGTGCTTTTAGATGCAATGCGCTTAAAGTTACTCTTAAAAGTAAAACGACATTTTACTGATCCCAAAACCAAACAAAAAGTGCTCAGGTGTAGCTAAAATAATGTGTCTGTGCTCTTTGGGTAGTGGATTTATCAGATTAAACAGCAAAAATCAGTCCAAGGCACATGAAAAATGTGGAAGATTGTTAAAAAGCCTTTATTCACATGGCTAATCCTTAAAAACCTATGCGTTTCGCAAAGAACTGCCTTCATCTTCAACATTTAATTGATATCTGATTGAAATATATGTGAAATATATATGACTGATTCCCTGTTTAAAAATGGCTTTCTAACACAATAATTAAGCATACACAATATTTAAGTATATTAATTCTGTACAGCCCTGGAAAACATCAGTATTTACCATCAAAAGTACACCGTACTCTTAGAATTCCTATAAAAACACAACGGCCTTTTTTAATTTGAATATAAAACAGTATAGAGAACAATGAAAAAGCACACTATTTGTCACTCCATTAAATAAGGAACACAGTTACAGCCAGGCACACTGATCATGTTTTAGACGACGACACCAAGAAAGAAGTAAACTCTCTATGAGTCCATGCGTAATATAACCCCATTCAGGAATGCATCCAAACCCTGACTTTTTAAGGAGCTCTCAAACTATCTAGCTCAGAGTCTTGTGCCCTTTTTCGGCTTTGAAACCTTCACAGCTGTGTCAGTGTTCTGGTCCACCCTTCACACCGCCTGCTCTCAAAAAAACACTAACATCCA